AATCGAACCTGATTAGTGCAGCGACTAATTTTGACATTTTCCATCTAGGCCTCACTGTCACGAATGCCGCTGGGTCACGGGGCAACGGTAAATTTCAATCCATGCTGGGCGCCCCATTCAAGATATAATAATAGTCTCGAAATCCTATTTAAAAAGAATAAAAGTAATGTTGTCGACTAATAACAAATATATGTTTGCCTCAGCGAAAATCTCTCTATAAAAAGGAGATATGGGAGAGGCATTGAATGCCTTCAAATTCACTTATATTCTGTGACCAACTGGAACCTGTGGCAATGTGATGTGGCGCCAACATGCCAAAATTGTGCCTTGCACTTCCCAGGTTCGATTCCCGTTGGGGGTGCTGATAAAACCCAGGCGAGGCCTAAACTACAGTCTACTCTGTATGATAATCATTTTGGTATAAAGCAAGGCTACGTAAAATTACATGGCACCGTGGGGCCCACTCATCTCATCGTGGGAAAATTCACTATCAGTCCCTTATCGGCTGAAGTGACCTAGGGTGACTAAAGCTCCTATTCGCTTCATTTATTTACTATGTAAATAGTTATTGAGACAATCAGAAATTCTCGAATAAGAACTTAATCATCCTAAGTCGCTTAAGGTGATTTAAGGATTGAAAGTTGACTTTTTTCATAATCAGATTAGTCGGCCCTACAATACCAATGAACTTTATCTAGTTTTCCTTAATCCAGGGTTGATTGAAGCTCCGACCTCGACTAGGTCTCAGTAACATCCACAACAGGATTCAGTATCGGATCGTAAGTGCCATGGTGATGTTACCACTTCACTGGATTGTAGGGTAAATGAGATATTCAAGGCAATTCAGGCCTTGCCCAATTCACCTTTATAATGGAATTGTGGATCAGGCAGATTTTATCGCCAGTTAACGCTACTTTGTTATTTATTTTAGATGCTGGTAGTTTTATAATAAGAATTATTGATAATGCATATCTTTCTGGCATATCAGCTTCAGCCTACCCAGGAATCAAGCAGATCGGCCTTCTAGGACGAACTGGTCTCGTTCCACTGCACGAAGAGCCATGCTTCTCGAAGGTCGCAAACCAATTGCTACCAATTGGCCGGTTGCTACGCGGCGAATTGTTGCGCTATCTGAATGCCACTCAAGTTGACTTGGATGACGTGTTGCGTCGAGCTCCCGTTCGGCAGATTCTTGCCGCTCAATTGGCTGTTGGTGCCCAGCTTCAGGCGCGATCCGCTGTCGAGGACGCCGAACAGTCTGAAGTAGCCTGGCGCCCGGTGTTCGGACCTTGGATCACACGTAGCCTCTTCTTGGGTCACTGCCAGACAGATGGAAGTGGCTGGCGGGCCGGACTCGAATCTGCCTTTATCCGGCCCGAAACCGTCTTTGCTGCCGCCAATTTGCTGGTTGGCTTGGACGCCAGGATGATGGAAGTAGAGGCATTAGCAGTGCAACGAAGGCTGGCTGAGATCAGGGCCGGATTGATGAGCAAAGCGAAAGGGTTGACGACAGCGACTAAAAGAGGGTTAGAGCAGGCAAATAAGTGGGTCAATGAGGAGGAGGAAACAGGTGAACAGAGAAATGAGGTGGTTGCTGGCTCCCGCTTTCTACGATGGGCCATCCGAACTTTTGTTCACGCTAAGCTGCATGTCCACTATACCATTGACTGGATGATCACTGAGATTCTATCATTCGCCTATCGGGGGGATCAGACTGAGACAGGCGAAACAGAAAAAAGAGCTGCCGGAAAACACAAAGATTCACCGGAAAAGGTAGTGACTGAAATGCGAAAAGGTTGCTTTTTACTTATTTTATTTTTTTAGTTGACAGCCTCATGTCTTTCCATCTTTCCGGTTGGTGACACGCCTACCAGGCCCAATGGATAGGAAAAATGGGAATCCTTGCAAAAATCTTGCCCAAGAATGGATATTCGATAGAACTAAAATCAGCCAATCTTAGACGAAAAGAGCATCATCATAAGACCAATCTGGCCAGGCGAGGTTGAGCATTGTTAGTATCGTCTTCCATTTCATGGATATAAGGACAAAAAATAAACTCCTATTCCAAAATAACTGATAATCTCTTAGCATAGTCACACCAAATATAAATATCATCTTCGACAATCACCCTACAAATGCGATTTGGGAGAGGTCTGGTTTACTTTGAAATTAAACTCTGCCCTGCTACCCTCAGGCATTCTCGGCTGCGCAGCAAAGTGGTAACGAGACTTCACGATTCTAACGACCAAGTTTCGAATCCTACTGGAGGTGTTGATCAGATTAAGGCGAAGTCGAAATTGTGATCAAGCCTGGATGATAAAAGCATTTGAGACGCAAGGCTAAATTAAATTAAATTGAAAGGAAAAATCTACTCACTCACGAAAAGACAAAATCTGTCTGTAAATTTCTTTAAGAGGCATTAAAAAGCAAGCTCTTAAGCATTACTGGTCAATTCCAAAAATACCCAGACCCGATGAAATGTGTAATTGTCTAAATTTTTACAGGTATAATTAAAACTGAAGATATGAAGATTTAGATATTGTGGCCTCTGGTATAGCCGCAGACTTCTTTCGATTTATAGAAGGGGGTTGACCTCGTTGTCGCAACCTGGTCCTGTTGTCAGGGTGACTTCAACCAACGTCCTGCCGAAAATGATTACAAAGGTTTAACTTCATGTGTCTATTTGACGAGTTCGTAGCTTGGTGCGGAGACTGGCAGCACTCATTGATGATGCCGACTACGATGCCGGTATGAGAATGTACCAAATCTATTGTCTGATGCTGGGAATCATGACAACTACTATGGCAGAGGAATTCGGACTAGGTGCATTCTACTGATAACAAGACCAAGTCGTGACAACGAGGTCAACTCACTTCTATAATAAAACGTGTTGATCTACTAAGCTTTATGCTTAAATTTAAAGACTTTTTTGGTATCGCTCAGTCAACACATAAAACCGAAAATTTGACTTCACAGAGTAGTAAGTTATCTGAGAAAAGATTAGGAGAGAGACAGAATACAAAAAAAGATTTAAGGAGAATATATATGAGCTGGTAGCTACGATAGTCAGATTTAAGATGCTCGCAACAGTAGCTAACACAATTAAATAATAGTGCAACCCAGCTCGGGCAAGAGGTAGTTTAACAGAACGAATCGGGTTTTGTCAAGGCGCATGCCTAAGCAAACTCGGGGGAAACAAGAATAGAGCAAGACCAGAAAAAAGGAGACGCCTGGATCAAGGATCTATCGCTAACCGGAGGAAAAGGGATCGCGATTAGGAAAGAGTATGGGAGGGATGTTCAGCCATAAAGCGAAGACGTCAGTGAGTGATGTCCATTTCGAATAAACTAGTACAACGTTGAAGGACTGGGAATCAGGGAGATGGGCAGACAGATAAGTCAACCACCAAATCGGTCAACCAGAAAGATAAGGAACGGATCTACAAGACAATGAAAGGATCCGGATTGGAGGCCCGAATCGGATAAGCCCATCGAAAGAGAGGGGTCGAGGTAAATAGCAAGTGTGATGAGGCCACACTAGATTTGCCACGAAATGGCACACATTTTGACGAGTGGAATGTAAACAAGTGAGAAGTTGTGATAGGGCGGCAGTGGGATTACCGGGTAAAGAGTAGATAGATAGGCCAGGACAGAAAGAGGAGTGATAATGTAACTGTTTATGGCAGAACGTTTGTCGAGGGATTGACTTCACTTGTCTCTTTGACGAGTTCGTTGCCTGGTGTGGAGAGTGGCAAAACTCACTGATGCCGACTATGATGCC